CTGGGCCTAAAGCTCTTCTTCTCCTCCTTTGCAAGACTGAACTAATCATCAAACTGACTGTGGAAACACGGCATAGCAGTGCTGATCCGTTTAGCTGCCCCAAAGAGCTGGATAGCTACCTGTGAACTCATTTTGCTTCACCCACTCAGTCCTTGCAGCCCCTGCTACACAGTCTAGCCAGGAAATCAGTAAAAAATAGCCTGGGGAACTTTTTTCCAGCCTGGAAATTTGAAAACGAAGCCCTAAGAAGGCCCTTTTCCCAGCAATAAAACCAACTAAACTTCAGCCAAGTCACAGGTCCAGCGGTTGCTTTTCAGCCTCCAAACCAAATCCCACGAAACGGTTTACCCACAGAGGTCCAATTCACATGGGCCGGATGCCATCAAGGTACGCCATGACCTTGCTCGAGTCTTTGCACGTCGAAAAAAATGCTTGACATTCATCTTCGGTATGGGTTTGGAACTGCAGGCATATGGAATGCATTATGACATTTAGAAGGCATTTGTGGTAATTGTTCCACTTGAAATGCAAAGGTTATAAAACTTAATGGCCACAAGGACAAGGAACTTCTATGAAACACTCAGGAGATTTATGGACTCCTTATGGCTTCAGCATCTCTGTCCGATGACCAAGAAAACCAGGAGCTTGGCAGCCGCAGAAGTTCAGGGCTTTCGATGGTAGCCATCGGACCTTCTCGGACCTTCTGAAGGACAGCCCAGGTGGCAGGCTCGTGTTTTCTTTTCGATATTTATTGGGCTAGCGACCCATACGTAAAGGGAGATGAAGAAAAAGGTGTGAAGGTTGAAAAAGCGGAAGAAAACGCCGGGGGTGGGGGTGCTCGGCTTCTCAAAGTGTGCTCGGCACGAAGGAAGAGATACCTGGGCAGCACAGCGCGGGGCACTGATGGCGGGAGGACGGCAAGCAGGCACGGCGCTGAAGGCTGCGAGCGAGTGTTTCTGTGCCAAGTCGGAGCCCCTTGGCACGGCCTTTCACGTCTCTTCAGTGGTCTCAAAAGGGATGCCTTTCCCCCAGCCGTGCAACGTACGCACACGCACCCCCTCCCCCCCCGTGCACAAGCGCTCTCCCTAGCCGGCCACGAGAGTGCAAAACCCCCGGTGAAAATCGGCCCCCCCCCCCCGCAAATATTCCTGCATCCAGCGCAGAAGTGGCCGGACATGAGGGGAAGGGCTGGCCCTGCGGATCGGGCCCTACCAGGAGGGCTGCAATGGGGGGGGGAGTGTTGCCAATCTTCTGTCGAGGTGAGAGTGCTTCCAAGGACTCGGCTGCCTTATGAGACGCTCCCATAGACACACGCGGGCATCCGTCTTTCCACTTTTATTTGCCATGTTTCGAGTCACAGCCCTGGAAGGCCTTTGGAGGCCATTGCTCCATGCAGGACCGACAGTTCCAACCCTTAATGCAAACAACCCCCCCTCCCCGCCCCATTTCAGATTGTTCGGGTCTGTCCAGTCACTAAGTCAGCAATGTGCGCGTGCGCGCGCGCGCGCGCGCTCTCTCTCTCTCTCTCTCTCTCTCTCTCACACACACACACACACACACACACACACAAGTGAATGCTAGGCATGTCATAAGCAGAGCCGGCTGGAGCTGGGGGTCAGACTAGATGGCCCAGGAGGTCCCTTCTGCGTCGCTCTGTCTCCATGGCTCTGTTTCTTCTTTTGTTTATGCAGGCCAAGGAGAAGCTGCCACCCAGAAAATGGGATGGCCGGACAAACTCCCCCCCGCCCCGACCAAGGGCCCTGTTGCCCCAAGGCTCGTGTGTACTTAGCATTGCCCCCTCCACCTCTTCTTCCAGGGGTGGGGGGGGGAATTTCCTCACTAAGTGACTGGAGAATGCATGATGGGGGGGGGGGGACAGCCTCAACTTGCAGGGGTCAGCAGTGCCCGCGGGCTCTGCGTTGGGCACCCCAAGCACAGATTGGGAGCCGAGCATCTGTCTTGTTTAACATTTGCTAAGCACTTGGGGGGCGGTGGGGGGGGGAGAACATTCCTTTTGCCTGCAAAAGATCTGAAACCTTGGAACGGTGGCCCACTGAGGTGGACTGCCGACGGAGAGTCACCTGTGACCACAACAGGTGAGCAACATTGTGCCAGTCCAGGCTGCTCTCTTTCTGCTGTGTGCAAAGAATGTTCTCTGAGGAGGAGACCTGCTGGAGTCATCGGAGCGACGGCTCCTACTCACAAGCCCACCAGGCACTTTCAAATGATTATTCACTGTTTCAACGCAAGAAGCTGCAGGTGGTGTCTGTGATTCTCCAGTTTATCCTCAGAGCAACCCTTTGAGGTGGGCCAGGACGAGGCAGTGCATGGAAGCACCCAAGAAGACAGCCTTCCCCAGCCTGGCCATTTGGGCGAGGAATTATGGGAGTTGAAGTCCTACACACCTGCAAGGCAAGGTCGGGGTACGTTGCCCTAATTTGTGAGCACTGAGGTGGCAAAGCTGCTCAGAATCACAGGACCCTCCATCCTAAAAACCCCACTCCTTACAAACTGGAGGTGAAATGGTGCTTCCAGACTGGAATTCTGCGTGCTTCCGTGGGCGGCAAAGCACCACGGGATAAAATGCAGCGCAGACCAGGGACTGCGCCTCCACCAGCCAGTCTCCCGGTTCTGCTACTTCATCCCACCTCCTCCTCCAACCCAGTAATCAGGATGAGAGCCCACGGCTTCAGATTGGTTCCAGATTTTGTGGCTGACATCTGGCTAAAAGATGGTGGCATTAAATAAGTATTGGAATGGTGCAGAGCTCTGTTTGTATTATTTGTTAATTTAAAAAAGCGCTGTGGGTAGGGGTGAGGGGGAGATGGCGAATAGAGCCGGGGAGGGGGGGTGGCAGGCAGCTTGGGGAGCAGAATGAGGCAAACTGAAAATCCACGGATGGCCAGACTTGACTTGGGAATGCCAAGGAGCCTCTTGGAAGCATGCGAGGCAAGTCAGAAAAACCCACAGAACCGATCTGTGCAGCAGCAGATTTCAGACTTTAAGTCCTCTCATTCAATGTCCTCCTCCTTCCCTCCCTCCCTCCCTCCCTCCCTCCCACTCTCTCTTTTGCAGCCGTTGCTCCGAACAAGCCTTTGCACAGACGCTGGGCGTGTGGCAGGGAATTACAGGACATCTGACCTCGGTTGCAAACCTGCTCTCCTTCGGACTGTTCCAGGTCTAAGGGGAAAAGTGTTTACTTGTGCCTTGTCAACAAAAGAGGATGCACAGCGCCGAAAGGGGGGAGAAGAGAGGGTGCACTGCTCCGCTTGGAGTCCCAGTGTGCAGGGGTGACCTGGGTTCGTGATCTTTCAGCGGGGCTCCCCGTCCGGGGGAGGACCGTCCTCTGTAAAGCAGGACATGTGGCTGCTCTCAGAATACATGGGTGAGGTTTCTGCAGATTTCCCGCCCCAAGCGGGCAAGCCCCTCTCTCTCTGCCGTGTGTGGCAGAAAGTGGAGGTGTTTGGAAGTGCCTGTTTCTGGTACACATGTGTTTCAATGCATGTGCGCGCTCCATGGAGTTTCCCACACTGCCGCAGCTGGAGTTCATGAGATCCAGAATCGTCCTGTACTTCTGTGAACCCACATAACGTGCCTGACCTTGGCATTCTGGGGAAGCAGCTGTGCTTGACATCCTGAGATTCCTCTTACGGTCCTTCCACTTACCCCAGTACACCTACTCAAGCGCTCGGACCATTGCCAAGCTGCCGAGTCTGGCTGCCAAGTCAGTTTCCCACAATGCCCCGCAGCGATGCTACATGGGGTGCCTTGAGTGTAGGCTTTGGAAAGAACCAGCATCCCAGTTCAGGGCTTCCATATTTCCAGAAATGTGTCACCTCTAAATACGGAGTATTCCACAGTGTCAGACTGAGCTACTTTTTCAGCCAGAACTGAGAAACCAGCAAATACCGAGGAAATTCTCATAGTTTCTAGAAGAGCACAGAATCTCTAGGAAAACTGTCTGAGGGAACAAAGGCAAAGGAACCTCCCAGTGGCAACTGATTATGTTCCGTGGCCATTGAAAATTGTGGGGTCAGAGGAATGGAATGGAATATCCTAGGATAGGGCATGCCTGGCTGGAAAGCTGAGCAGGAGTTTCAGGAGCAAGAAAGCTTCTCTTATTGGATTCTCCGTGTTCTTTCAGGATGCTTTTTGAAAAGGCAATAATGAAACATGCAACATCCATGCTTGCCGCAATTCATTGGACCTTTTATATATGCGACAGCAGCTGGATGTGTGTGTGAAAACAACCGAGCTCCTCTGGGAAGGCCCTCACAGTCTCCCCCTGCAAGCTGGGACACAGGAAAGCCACCTTGTATTTATTATTAAACTTCTATTCTGTAGCCAGTAGTCCGACAGGACTCTTTAGGCAGATTCTGAGATCGCCCACAGTGTTTCTGTCCACATCAAGGGAACGCCAATGCCTGCCTGGAAGGAATTTGGGATGTCCTCCAATGGTTTTGTTTAAGCAACCCCTCCAGCAAGGGAATGAGTGCCTCCTGTGTACAGAAGGCACCTTAAAGTTGGATCTACTCACTGCAGGACCTGTGAACAGCCCAACCCGTGAATTCAAAGCCAGCGTTCCCTGAAGCATCTCAGGCTGTGGTGAAAGTAATACAGGTACGTGAGGAGGTGTTACACAGAGGTGGGTAGAGACCTGCAGAGGAAGGCAGGATGCGCTGCAACGGAGCAAAGCTCAGGGAGCCAAGGTTCCATTTGGATGCCAGGAAGCACTTCCTGACAGTCAGGACCCCGAGGGTGTGGAAAGGGCTCCCACAGGAGGTTGTTGAGGCCCCATCGGTGCGGGTGTTCAAGGATAGGCTGGACATCCACATGGTGGGCATGTCATGAGCGAGCCGGCTGGAGCCAGGGGTCAGACACGATGGCCCGGGAGGCTCCTTCTGGCTCGCTCTGTTTCTATGTTTTTAATAGGGAATTATTTAATGCCCTGCAGGCAGAGAAATCCAGCTGTCCCCCGTTGGAAACAGGATGCTCAGTAGTAAGGGTTTCCTGGTGTGATGTTTTATTGTGCCAGAATGCTGTAAATGCAAGATTCGCTCTCTGAAGGTTTTATTCAGGATAAGTCATACTGAAAGTTGACCCACTGAAAGCCATAGTGACGCCCATTGACTTCAATGGAGCCACCCAAAGTATAACTTAAGTCTCTGTGAATTGTGTGCAAAGCCATGTACAACAGAAGCACTCCGTGCTGCCTCTTTCTGCGTGAACGCGGGCAAAATCACCTGCCAAAATGTCTCCCCACCACAAGAAAGAGGAGCCCTTACACCCCTTCTCCATCACTCAGGTGCCAAAGATGCTGTAGTGACAAAAAGCAGAATTTCAGCTCTCACCTGTGGCTCAGGAGACTTAAAAGTGTTATGCATTTAAAAAAGAGGAAGAAGAAGTTGGGGGGAGAGAGTGAGAGAACAAGGATGGAAAGCCCCTGGTTTCATTTGCCATTCCTTGCTCATTGGTGGAAGGGAAGTGGAATGCTCTGGCTTCGGAGGCTTGGAAAGAGCTAGACCGGGAAACTCTTAAAAACTAAGTCACAAACGGAAACGTGTGGCTGGCCTCAAGCGTCCCATTGTCTCTCTTCGGGTCACCAGTGAGTGCTCCGTGCACTTGCGGAAAGCTGTGTCGGTGCAACGCTCCGTGGGATTGCTCCAGCGCGTGAGAAGGAGCGCGTGGTGCCGGCCAGCCCACCGTGGCGCCGGCCGCAGTCTGCTCCGTGCGAGGGCGACGTGCTGCCTAGGTGCGCCCTTTGAAAGTGTTCATACAGGTGTAGCTCCCGGCAAACTTGTGGATTTCTTCAAGAGCTGCCTGTGGAAGGATGCTGTGGGGAAAAGAAAGCAGAGCATGGGCCCATCTTTCTTTCGGACACGGGGGGTGCAGGGGGGAGCTGGGTGCACGGGGCAGACAGATCCATGCGACCTGCAACCAGAGCTGTGTGTTTTCTGTGCCAGAGGCACAAAATCCAGCCTCTCGGGAGCTGGATTCTTGGAGAAAGGCTGACTACAGGCAGCCTCGGGTCCAATCCCTCCCCTCCCATCAGGTTCGCAACAGGTATGGAGTGGGGCCAGAACCCTTTCTCCATCTGCTGAGTTCCTAGCAAAATCCCTCTTTGGGTGGGGGATCCATAACTGCAGGCAATGTGGGCTTGCGTCCCTTCTCAAAGCTAAGGCGAGCTCCGGGACTGAAAAAGAGATTTTCCTTCAGACTTCAGCAGTGGAGGAAAGGGTTAAATGCCCCCCCTCCCCGCCATGATCCCAGTATTTACCAGCCTCCACCTTAGGCCAGCTGCATTTGAAAGGAGCAACTGAATCCTGCATTGTTGCAACCCCGGAGCTAAATGCCTGAGCACCATTTTGATTGGCCTTTGGAGCAAATCAGCTTTCAAGTCCTCAAAAAATTCCATTTCGTTCCATGGAATTGTTTGGGCTGATTTGTACTCCACTTTATACCAAGGAAGATGCACTCAGGTCCTTAGTCCCTTGCGGCTGAAAAGATGCGCCGCGAAGTCTGGAAGAAACTCTCCAAGCCAAGTGGTGAGAGTGCTGAAGTCGGAATTTGTGGCAGAGTTTCTCGCTTTGCTGTTTGCAAGCGAACGCCATGCAATCTGCTCACGTCCCGTTTTGCAGTGTGCCAATTGTGACTTTCAACGGCATAACATTTCCCGCAACTTCACACAAAGGGCAACCCACTCTCCCTGGGCAAGACCAGTCGGCCCTGGTTTTGAAAGGTTCTGTCCAGATGATTTGCACATGGGCGTTATTGCTTCTTGGGTTTGGTGCCACGGTGCCCGAAACCAGCCTTCCCAACTTGTCTGCTTCATGCTGCATTCATTTTACAAAAGGGAACAAGTTTCCAGCCTTCGTTGTGCAGAGAAGCACAAGGAAAAGATAGTTTATACTCTGAAACTAGAACGGGAGTGTGTGCCGAGAGTTTGCTGGCCGCAGGGAAAGATGCTGTAGATTTCCCATGCTCCTTTGCACAGAGTGCCGCATGCAAGGAGCTGCTCCGCATGTATATCGGGGTACGGGAAGCTCCAAGAAGCACCGCTTGCTTGCTGGATTTGGCCAGCTGCTGGAACTGGGCAAGTCATATTCTCAGCATCACAGCTGCCCCAGGTATAAAAATGCGGATTGTGCCCTGCGGCAGCTGGATGGATGCAAGGAAGGCTGCAGCCCACCCTACCTGTTCAGAGACTGATGGACTGGATCGATACGGACCTTTTCAAGAAGATTAGGATGTGCATTGTCCATGGAAGGAGGAGAAACGCCTGGTTCTGTTGGACAGCATCGACGGTTCTGCGGGCCACTGTTTCCGGCTTCAGAGGAGGGAAAAGGTTAGGGAATCTAGAAAGCAAGCAATGCCCTCTTAGTAACCAGCAAGCCAGATTTCCCCCAATACTTTTTTTTACAGAAAACATCTGTCATTGTCTTTTTCACAGCTTCTCTAGAGAACGAAGGCCACTTCACAGAGCTTTCTAAACATCCTCCAATATTTATTTATTTGTGTATTTATTAGATTTATATTCCACCTCATTAGCCAGAAAGGCTCTCTAGGTGAGTTACAGGATTACGAAATGTAACAACGCACATAATTTTGTTGTTGTAATTTGAAATTAACAAATAATACAGCAGTAAAATCCAAACAGGCAATCAACAAAATGCCGCTATAGAACTTCACGAATCTCTGCCAATAAAGACATAAAAAGGCACTAAGATGAACAATATTATACAACCTTAAAATCATCTTCACAACGAAGATATTGGTAAATAAAAAAGTCTTTGCCTGGCACCACAAAGGAGGAGGGGAATATCCCAGGTGAACCTCTTTGGGAAGCGGATTCCAGAGTCGGGGTGCCACTGCCAAGAAGGCCCTTCTCTTTGTAGCCACCCCCCTTTCTCCTGCAGAGGGGGCTCCCCGAGAAGGACCTCCGATGAAGAGCAAACGGGCTGTCTGGCACATGTGGGAAAGAGCGCTCCTTCGGATGCCCTGGGCCAAGCCGTCTGAGGCTTCCAATGCTAGTGAGAACAGTCTGAGCTGGGCCTGGATTTCAACTGGCAGCCCGTGGCGATGGCAGAGGACTGGCGATATATGACTGCAGTGGCCAGTCCTCGCCAGCAGCCTGGCTGCCCTATCCTGGACCAGGATATCCTTCCAGACAGTCTTCAAGGGAAGCCCAACAAAGAGAGCATGGCAGTAGTCCAGACAAGAGGTTGCCTTTCGTCCTGGTGGCCACCAATCACACCCAGTGAGTGCCCAGAAGGACAGCTCTGGTTTCAGGCACGTGTTGTGGAGTATGCAAACTGGGGGCTGGACTGTCAACACCACGAAAGAGGAGGAGGGGGAGGGGGAGGAAAACAACTTTGGGAAAAAGAGAAAGAGATTGTGCTTCTGCCCTTGTCGATGGTGAACAAGGGACTGTTGGCGACTGCTCCTTCCTCTGGACAGATGTGGTGAAGTCGACCCCCAAAGTGCTCTTAGCACAAATAGAATAGCACTCGTGCGTGGATCAATGCAAGCCTGTACTAATGTTAACCGATATTAATTTGCATTAATACAGGATGACGTGATCCCAACCCAGATTAAAATACAACAACGCTCAGTATTACGTCCGCAGTCAGTGGGTGGAAAGAAGGCAGGTCAGAAACAGGAGATGACTCGAGCCGACGGCCTTTGCAACCGCAGAGGCCGCTGCATGGCATTTGAGGGGAGATGCTTCCAAGAAGAAGACAAAAAGCACCCTCATGCTGGAAGGATGGAGACCTCCCCGCTAGCTCTGGAACGGCACGCTTTGGACGAGGTGGCATTCTGCCCAAGGGCTTCCCAGACCTGGAAGGCAGGATTGTTCAGCCCAGAAACATTGGAATGAATGGTCTTCCACCTCCGCTGCTTCACTCGATCGTGTGAGTGGCTTCGCAATGAGGCAAGCCAGCCCCCGAGGGACCCGAGAGCTTTGTCCCAAACTCCCGCCCCCAGCAAGTCCGCAGCCGTCTGCCTCTGCACCATGAGTTCCAGTGGAAGGATAGCAGGCTCAGGGCCATCGGGACGGAATCCGCCCCGTTCCCGGGCAGCTCCGTGCGGCGGCGGCGCCCGCGCCTCGCTCACCTGATGCGCATGCCTTGGAACATCTCGGTGCTGGTGTGGAAGGGGCAGACGGTGGTGGTATTCACGCCGGGGCAGTCCAGCAGCCCCAGGGTCAGGCTCTCCATGAAGGCAAAGGCGGAGGCCTTGGAAGTGCAATAATCGATCGCCCCGGGAATGGCGGACAGCGCCAGGACGGAGTTGAGGCACACGATGTGGCCCCTCTGCAGCTCCAGCATCCGCGGCAGGAAGGCCTTCGTGGTCTGCGGGGAAAAGCACAAGAGAGCGGTTTCACAGCACGGCCGTAGGGACCACAACATGCGCTTCGTCCCCCTGCCCGGCCCCTGCACCAGCCGGCCAGCAAGCCTCCTTTTTAAGTCCCGCTTCAGGCTGTTTCCGGAGAACGGCTTTGCTATCAACAGGCCGGATTGCCCAGACTTTATGGGAGGGTGTTCAAGGATAGGCCAGACATGCACATGGTGGGCATGTCGTGAGCAGAGCCGGCTGGAGCCGGGGGTCAGACTCGATGGCCCGGGAGACCCCTCCTGACTCGCTCTGTTTCTGTAAGTGCTGGCTGAAGGCCCTGGCTGGCAGTTTCCCTCCGGACTGTCCAGCACCCAAGCAAAGCTGGACTGGGAAGCCGGAAGAAGCTTCTTTCTCTAGCTAAAGGCACGTTTCAGATTGGATTTACTCCGAAAGGAAGGCCACTTGGCTGTCGTGCGCCTGGTCCTGCCCTGTCTGAGATTTCAGGAGGCTTCCTGGATTCACCTGTACGTGAGTTCACCTGCGCCTCATCGATGCTTGCAGCCCTGCAATCAGGAAATGTTTGCCTCTGGGCACAGGTGGCAAAGTTAGGGATCTGGGCCCCGCGTCAACTTCAGACCCACTGGAGAGCTGTCATATTTCTATCCCATCTTTCTTCCAAGGAACTCATGGTGCCATCCATGGTCTCTCTCTTATCCTCACAGCAACCCTGTGAGGTAGGACAGGCTCAAGGATGACAGGCCATGACTAGTTTGCCACCCGATCAGAGTTTGGTGGCTGAATAGCGGCTTGAAGCAGAACATCTCTGGTTCTGCTCTGACACACTAAGCCAGCATTACCCAGCCTGGTATGGATACCTTGGATTACAGTTCCCATATTCAGGCATCACAGCACCTGTCTGGAATCCTCCTTTACCCCTCCCTGTTTATAGCTGTAGACTTTCCACCCAAAACATTCTGTGTTCGGTCCAAAGGAAGCACTGCAATTCCAGCCCTCCCTGACTCAAGCAAGGCTTCATTCTTTGATCCTTAAAAAGCTGCTTGGGAAAACCCCACCCGCTGCCTCCACGAAAATGTGTGCCAGGAAAGCACTGCAGGGGAGAGAAATGACTGGCGATTTTTCCACGTATTTTGACTCGACCTATCGGCTTACGCGCACAGGGCCGTGAAAGGAGAACCCCTTTGCGCTAGTGGCCGGCACCGATGAAGAACTGAAGCCGGAGGAGGCCGGTGAATCTGCGTCCTCCGTCCATTGGCTCCGTGCTCCTTGCGCTGTTTTCCCTGGACAGGCAGGTCACGCCAAGCCACTGCCGGGCCAGGCTGCAGAGCAGCCACGCTGCAGAGCAGCCACGCACCCACTGGCCGTGAGCCCTCCCCACGGCTTCCAAGCCCGCGCACCCAGGAGCCGGGACGGCGTACCCAGAACTGGCCCAGCGTGTTGATGTGCTGTGACTTCAGCAGGGCGTTGTCGTCACTGTCAGTCAGGCTTTTGCCGTGAACCACGGCCGCGTTGTTCACCAGGATGGTGATGTCTCCCACCTGGAGGGGAAAAGAAGTTCGGGGAGTCCCAAGGATGGTCCTGCCGGGGTGGGTCTCTCCTCCATCTGGCCCTGCAAACATTTCTCCCAGCAAACCGACGGAGGTGCCTTCACACACCTGGCCAGGTGCGGCGGCTCTGCAGGGGCTCCCACCCTGGACTCACTGTGGCCTTCCCACCCATGCACAGACATATGAGTTCCAGCACTGCTAGCCTTCCGTAGAAGCCCACCACCTCCGGGGACCAGGAGAAGGTGCGCCACTGGCTCCCACACTGCAGGGCTGGCGGCAGCCAGAGCTCCAGAAGTGGGGTTCTCCACCTCCTGGAAGCCTTTTCCAGCAATGCCAATGGCCAGGGATGCTGGAAGGGGGTCCAGAACGTCCAGAGATGGGCCTTCTCGCCACCCCTCCTCTGCAAGTTCTCAGCAGCCAAGTCCGTGCCTTCCTTCCATCCCTGGACGTGGGACCCAACACACCTTTTCACGGACCGCTTTGGCCTGGCGGTAGACCTCTTCCCGATTCCCCACGTCGCAGATGAAATAATGGCACTCCGTTCCCATCGCCCGGATCTCTTCCGTGGTTTCCTTCAAGTATTTCTCGGTTCGACCCCAGATGATAATCTGCAAAAAACTGTTATTTATAATTATGCAGTCAAGTTGCTATTGGTAGTCATGAGGCGTTCTTGACTTGGACATGCCAAGGTAGATTGGTACTCGGCGGTCATGATGAGAATTTCGATTTCAGTTGCCAGGGACCAATCTCTAGTCCCTTGTCAACCAAACCCAAAGGCAGAAACAGCAGCTCCTCAAAGGAGCCTGGAGAGCTCTCACGTGAGTGAGCCAAGCTGGTCTCCTGGAAGAGGAGAGGGGAACGAGTGGGCAGGGGGAACCTAGGAACACAGACTCCAAAGTGACTTGTGCACCCTTTGATGGCACCCGAGTTCTGAGGCTGCAGACCCAGTTCAGGTGAGATCCGCAGTGATGCTCCCGTTTGGGATACCGATGTGCCAAGTTTCCCACACTCGGATGGGCTAGGAATTCGGTTAGGGAATGCTGGCCTAGGCTGCCTGCTGAGGTTCTCCAGAAGTGCAGAGCGCACTTTCCATTGAGGTGTTGGCTACGGTTCAAAGGGTGTTTTGGCTGTTTCTTTAGCATCCAGAGGTGCCGTAGCCCCAGCGAAATTTCAGAAAACACAAGAACGGGCTCTGGGTTTGCAAGATGAACTGTTAATAGGGAGGTTCTCTCTATATAGTTAGCCTTTCCCATTTTTCACTTACAGTGAGAGCTCGCATTTCCATTCCAGATATCACAGTCTCAACAGATGCAGTAGATTAGTATCAGTACTATAGTAAAACCAAGAAACCGAGCTGAAAACGTTTCCCCTAAAAACAGTCGCTTGCCTGCTTTCCTCCATAAACTCTCCATGTTGGGAGCAACTTAGTTACTTTTGATTCCAGGCAAATCAGAAGCAGTTAAGAATATTTGGCACGGTGATCAAGCGCAAGCAGTATTACCAGCTTAATTATATTTATCATGTATTCTGTTCATTTATTAAAAACTTTTCTAAGTCGTCCCCTACAGATGTCTCAGGACAGCTTGCAATAAATTATTTAGAAGCACCCTCCCTTCTCCAACAATGTGCACAATTTCCGAACCAATGCTGCACTGAGCTAAAATGAGTTTACCCATCCATGAAACAAACCAGGGCTCTCTTAAAGGGCAGCAGCAAAGTCCGAAGTCACTGCATACTTTTGGGCTAGGAAAATAAGCACGAGGTCCAAGGTCCGAGGGTGCCACTCGGCAACCCACGGGCTGAACGGCTCTCAAAGATGCCTGTGGACGTGCTTATCCGGCCACAAAAGAGAGCGTGCGTGGTGTGCCGGGGGAGTGAGAGATCACACCCTTTCGACAGGGCTGCGGCTGAGACATGCTGCGGTGGGTGAGCCCTGCAGAGCAGCCCAGGTATCCGTATTTTGCTGCGGGGTGGAGGGGGAGGAGGCGTGGTGTCCAAGGATTCTCCAGTGCAAGCTGGTGGGGCGATCCATTCCCCTGGCCTGTTTGTTCTGTTGCAGAGTTGGTGGACTGCATTCCTCAGACCCAGGCGGCCCTCTCTGTCTCCCCACAAACCGAGGCCTTCTTTTAAAAAAGGCTTTCCCCAGGAGTGCACGCCCTCTCCTCAGGCCAGAGGCTGTGGTTGTCTCCACATCGCTGCAGGTGAGGGTTGGGAGCTGCAGCCGGGCTGATGGATGGAGCAGCGGGATGCATGCCAGCCCAGAGGGGGCTGCGAGGGTGCAAATGGGAGTCTTTGCGAGGATGGGGCCTCAGTGCAGGCCTTGGTGGGACACAAGCAGTTCCTGCAGCAGCTGAGAAGTCCGGGTCTCCTCGTGTGTTCTGCTAATACAGATGGGACCCACGAAGGACCCAGCCCTGCTGTGCTTTGCTTGAAGAGCAGAGGCTTGGGGTGGACTGCAATCTGAGCAGCTCCCTGCCACCGTTGCCCCAAGTAACCCTGAGGGTTGCCCAAGAACCATGACGTGGGTGAAGGGGAGCCAGGAGAACCCTCAGACTCTGCAGGACCAACAGAATGACGAAGGTGGGTCCGAGATCAAATCACGCCACAACTTGCCCTGGAGGTGCACATGACCACACCGAGGCTGCCCTACCTGGGGCAAGACTCAGCGGAGAAGACAATCCTGCTTGGGGAAGGGCAGAAGAGGAGGAGAAGACCAACCAGATGGTTCGATCCCAGGAAGGAAGCCGCAGGCTTGGGCTGACGAGAGTTGGGCAGTGCTGTCACGCACAGGGCATTTTGGAGGATCATGGGATCATGCAAGGTCGGAGGTGACCCTATCAAAAAGCAAAGATCTAGGATGCAGCTTTCTAAAGCAGAGCTGGGTACCCGGGCCTGTCATTGCTTAGCCCTGCCATGACTCCAGACCAGCAAGCTTGTTCTTTAATGGTATCAGGTTTTTTAATGGGCAAGCATGCATGAGGACTCAGTTGGTCACTGACACTGAAGTTGTCTGCAGTTTGGGAAGACAACCAACAGCTGTTTTCCATCTCTGAGAACACACGGCCGCCTGACGCTAACCTACCTAGCTGTTGGTGAAATGCACATGAAGCAGAAAAGCACAGAAACGCAACAACCCTTAATTCTAGCTGGTACATTAAGGGAAAAGATCAATAGAAACAAAAATGGGAGTATTTCCCAGTGGTTGGAGGAATCCTTGCCAACATCCTGCACAAAGACCCAGCCAGAGTTCCCAGATACATCTGGCCTGCTTTTCCTTTGGAGAACTCAGAAATTTCTGGGCCCAGTCAATGACCCTTAATGGCCCGAACACTTTGGGTTTGGGTTGGCTGCGGAACTGCCCGCGTACAAGCATAACTGCCCATGTGGATGCACAGCCGGAAGCGTGGGTTCCGAATCCAGGGAGGTGTTGATACTGCTCTGCGTGACTCTGGTGCGTCCACAGCTGGAGTTCTGCATCCAGCTCTAGGCCCCCCATTAGGGGAGAGTCATAGCTAGGTTAGAATCGGTTCAGTGCAGGGTCACAAGCATGGGAGGGATGACATCTGAGGAGAGATTGAGGGAACTGGGTCTATTCAGCCTGGAGGAGACTCCGAGGGGATCTTCCAGGGGTTTAGTGGTATGTGAAGGGATGTCATGTGAAGGAGGGCTGTGAGCTGTTCTCCCCTGCAGTGGAGGGCAGGACGCGTTCCAGTGGGGCAAAGCTCAGGGAACCGGGCTTCAGGTTGGATGTCGGGAAGTATTTCCTGACGGTTAGGGCCCCTAGGATATGGAATGGGCTTCCAAGAGAGGTGGTGGAGGCCCCATCAGTGAGGGCATGCAAGGGAAGATTGGACAACCACATGCTGGGAATTACAGGAGCTGGCTGGAGCCAAGGGTCAGACTAGATGGCCCAGGAGGCCCCTTCCGACCCCCCCCCCCCCCCCCCCCCCCCCGTTTCTATGTTTTAGGATCATTCTCGAAAGTCTTACTGAGCGGCCACCTGAAGGATGAAGAACGTTGGCAGAGAGGCGAGCAATCCCCTTCTCCGTGCCTGCCCTTCCCACTTTAAGCAAACAAGAAACCACACATTTTCCTAGTATCGCTGGGACTGGTGTGAAATAAGTCTCCGCTGGGGGTCCCAAGCAGAAGTGCAGAGCTTTCGCTTACTGTCCCGGGAACCAGGTGCCGCCTCTGCAATCTAGGCATCCTTTGGGGCAGGTTATTTGCCCCATGGCAGCCACTTTGTGATGGTGTCCTGGGCAGGTCCTCAAATTGCCATCAGTGCCAAGGACCCCAAAATGATGTTTCCGGGAGGAAGGGACTTCTTTGTGGTGGCTTCTGTAGTCCGGAAGGCCTTCCCAAGGGACGCAGAGCCAGTTCCCTCGAAAGCAGCGTCCTTTTAAGAGGGCTTTAATGCCCCTCTTCTTTTCTCTCTGGCTTGCCCTGGAAATGGTCCCACTGCAGAAGCTGCCAATACAGATTTGAACAGACGGGTCTGTGGTCATTTAGTAGGTTTTACTGGAGTGTTGCTGGACTGGAGCATTTGCGCAGGGGGAAGGGCCTCTAGCCTCGGGCAGGCAGCGATAAAACCCAATGCCAGCCTGTACCGCAACCCAGGGAGCTTCTTGGCAGTGCTCAGAAACTCACGCTTGCCTATCTGCGGTATTTTTGTGCGGATTTGGGGGAAAAGGTTGGAGGACCTGCTCTGGGTCTGGGATGGGAGTTCCTGGATAAGATCGGTTTCCTTCTTGGAATGCATCCAGCCCCCCCTCTCGCCGCTCTCTCTCAGCTCGCGTTGGCGTCTTCCTTTCCTCCTTCCTCCTTGCAATTAAAATACTCTCCTCTTCAGAAAGTCACTGACCAGAAAACGACAGAGGGCTGCTGCCCAGTGGAAGCGTTGCCCCCAGTGAGCTCACGCGGTTTCTGGCTCTGCTGTATCCTTGGGATGACCCCGGTGCGCGGCTGGGATTGTTTTCGTGTGCTTTGCGCACGGCTGTGAAGACCGTCTGGGGGTGGCAACAGATGCTGCCCCCCAAGGAAGGGGGGGCGGGATGGCTGAGGTAGACCCTAGTGCTAAATTAGCTCAGCCCCCAGCTCTGCTAGTCCACGGTTCTGCAAAACGCTCCTTCCCCTAAGACCAGACGGTCCCCAGCCCCGTTTCCTCTGGGTTGCCACCTGCACTGCAGGGGCTCCTGCTCAGCAGAGCTCCAGCTGCATCTCACGCCACGGGGCGGAACAAGGCGCCCCATGCTGATGGGGCAGCATGGGGGCAAGAGGGCAGGCCTGGGGCTCGGGGGATCCGGGTCCGAGTCCCCCGTGCCGCCATGAAGCTCCTGGGGTGACTGTGGCCAGCCCCTGGCTCTCAGCTCAACCCACCTCACAGGGCTGTTCTTGCAAGGATAACATGCAGAGGAAGGTTAGAGGTCTTCCCCTGGGCTCCTTGCAAGAGGAGAGCAGTTGGGACGTAAATGGGGTGCAGTGATAGGATGCAGGTAACCGGAACAGATCCAGAGGAGGCCAGGCCACTGGAAAGCAGTCCTATGGAGCAAAGTGGAAGGGTTTGCGGGGGGGGGGGGGGTGCTTCAACAGAAAGCCCCCTGGCACCTCT